TTACTACTTACAGTCTTTTCTGTGTTTCCTTCAGTACTTAAAACAATCTTATCCTGGTTTTATACTATTTTTTTTTTGAGATGCCTTTTCTTTGTGCCACCCAAACAGCAGATTTTCTGAATGAAATTCTACATAATCAACTCTAACCTCTACCTCAAACTTTGATGAGAAACATTATTCTGTTGACCTCAGTACACTGCTGGACATATTGAAGTACAATTTTTTCTCTCTTGACTCTAACATGAAAGGGATGGTGGACACGTACAATTTTATTCCATGTGAGTAAAGTTCACACAATATGTTAAATTTCCATGGTTGTTCATGTCACCCCTGCCTCAAACGTTTTAGGTCACAGACATCAGATTGTCTGGAAAACGATTTTATTACTCCCCAAGGACAACTTAATTAAATGGTGTCCAATCTGTTCGGCTATCAGAGGAACTAGTGGCAATGAATACTTACAGATTCATGTACAAAAATTTTTTTTTGCATGCCTCACTTCAGAAGTGACTAGGGATCATCTGACACCAGATGTATTCTCCAATCATTTGTCATTTCATTGTCAGCACAATCACATGGCTAGTACTAAGCATTAAAGAATTGAAGATTAGATTAGTGAGGAAAGTCTACCAAATGCAAGAATGTAATCAGACATTATACTTTTTCCCTTAAATTACTGAAAGTCTTAGGATTCCTTCGTGGAAAATTGAGCATAAAGACAAATGAAAAGATAATTTGACATGTGAGGCTAAATTCATAAATATAATCTTAGTAAATGTGCCCGATAAACCATAAGCATGATAATATTTTTAGTTTTCTAGTGTATTTCTTGAATGCAATCATGCATGAACAACTCACATAGGGATCCTCATAGTCTTTCTATAAATAGAAAGGAAAATTGAGGTAACAGCCTTCCATGGATTTTTTTTTTTCCTCTTCAAAGTCCGCTTAGACATCTGCAGCTTTTTCTAAAGCTTCATCCAAACCTGATTTAATTTATAATTGTTAATAAATATTGCATATGCACCTTTCAGCACCTTACCTTCTTACTTTTAAAGAGAAACACAGAGTACAGGATTGGTTTGTTTCTACTGTTAGTTTTAGAATGCTATTTTCTCCATCTGACCAGTGGCCCTCAGCCTGATTCAATAACTTTTTACATTTTTGGTTTTCATTTAATCTCTACAGAAACACTGAGATAAGATAGGCCCAAGAGTCTAAACGGTACTCATCCAAAAATGTTCCCAATCTCAGGATCTCAATTGCACAGCTGGGTTCTGTTGGTCACATGTCAGCTTCAGAGCACATCTGTTCATTCCTCAAGGATCCTCTAGGCCCCATGAACACAATGTGCTCTGTGTAGAGTAGTTTATACCACAAAACCCAGCAGCTGCATGAGTGAGAAAAATCTCTACTTCTCAAGTTTGTGTCTCTAGGCAGTTTGAATAGGGTGTTTTCTATCTGGCTTTCTTCTGGTTGCCTGTCACTTCTGACATTCAGATGCCTGTTGGCAACAAAGTTGCTTTCGCTATTCTCAGGGACAGATGTTTCTAGTCTGGGAAAAGACAGACCAAACTTTTACTGGAAAGTAAGAATTCTTGCCATATTTAGGCACCCAACCTGAGAAAACATAAGGAAGATCCTGGCCACAGGCTCAAGAATGGAAAGGTAGTCACTGCCAGGAAAATAATGTCCAGATTGGAACACTCAGTTTCAGCATTTAGGAAAAATATTTGCATCAAATCTCCCCATCTCTGCTGGTTCATAATGGCCAAAGGACAACATATCCCTGGTAGGGCATGGGTGGTTCAGACACCCCCAACTCACCTTGGAAAGTGACATCTTTGAAACCAAGATTTCTGAGAATTCTTGGTTGTGTGTGTGTGTGTGTGTGTGTGTGTGTGTGTATGTGAGAGAGAGAGAGATTTTCATGTACTTTTGAAACTGTGTACATTGGAAAGGTTTGTGTGTTGATGAGGTTCAGTTGGAGTACCGTGAGAGTAGTACAAAAAGACTGAAGATATATCAAAAGTGAAGACATTAAATACGAATGGGTTTATGTCATAGATGTCATTAATTTGATTCATAGAAAATTATTGTTGTGGATCAAGAACGATTTTATGAAGTCTGCTTTCATAGTCCTCAAAGGCCTCATTGCTAGTTTTCAGAGGAAGGAGTAGTCTTAGGTCAACATGTTTTAAATGAGATGTGAGGGACAAACACAGCTTATAATACTGTAACTAGGTTTCCCTCCCTCCCCCCCCCCAACAGGAATGTGTCTATATTTATATAGTATAAGCGTTAAATCTGTACCAATGGTTGAAAATACAGACCACAGAAGCTTCTTTAATAACACATATACACCAAGTCAAAATGTTCTACTCTGTCATTCATGTGTAAATCAAGTATATTATTCATATACTTCATTGACTTCCTGAATGCGTGCTAAAAATGCTAAGGAAAAACTCGTTAATCCTGACATGGTGACTGCTCAGCTAACTCTAAAATGTTGATGGAAAAGAAAAATTGTCAAAGGGCCTTTTTAAGAGCCTCTGTAGGTTACACTCGCAAATCGGAATTCAGAGAACATGAATTTCCTTGTTCAGGAAGGAAGGATTAAAATCAAACACCCTCCAGTGGTTGCATCTAAAAACTGCATAGTTGTCCCAAATGGTTTACTTGTAAAAGGAGTCTTCCTGTGCACCATTTAGAACCTAAGATCCAAGCCCCTACTCAGTCTGATTTTAAAACATTAAAAGAATTTTCTGTGGACTATAAAATCTCTGCCCATCCTGATGACATTTTTTCAAACAAAATCAATAAACATCTATAAAGCACCTAATGAGCTCAAGTCTTCCGCTAGATGACTATAAGGATACAAAAATAAATGAGATATAGTCCTTGTCCTCATGGAGTTTATAATCTTGCTGGCTAGAAAAGACATAAATAGATGAAAAGCTAATAAAATTATTTTAAAATGCAAAATGTCACAGGAGAACAAATCTACTGTCGAATAAGTGATTATACACCATAAATTCTAGGGCTGGAGAGATTATTATGAACCTTTCACAGAGGCAGTGATATGGAGAAGGATAAGTAGGATTTCCAAAGTCATAGAGGACTAACATTAACAAATGCATTACAAGGACATACAATGTATATCAAAGGCACAGTTTGGCTAGAGTGGAAAGTATGAGTAGAGGAAGTGGTAGGAGATAAATTTAGGAGATAAATTTGGGTTGGCAAAAGATTGTAGAAGTGTTTAGCTAAGGGTTATAAATTTTATCCTGTAGTAAATAGTGAATGATTCATTTGTTGAACGCGGAAGTGACATGATCAAGGAGATGTACATGATATTAGTGGGGCTGAATGGATGGGAGGAAAGATAAGGAAGGTAAAGGGATAATTAACATTGAAGGAGTTAGATAATTAGGGCCTACACTAAGATGGAAAAGTGAGAATGAAAAAAATGCAAGGAACACTGGATTTGGGAAAAAGACACAGAAGAATAAAAAATAACTCTGAGGTATCAGGATGTTCCTTGGAGAAACAACAAAAGTAGAATAGTATTTCAAGTCATAAAAATGGGGTATCAGGCTGTTCCTTGGAGAAACAATAAATATAGGGTAGTATGGGGAAAACTGCAGAAAGAAAAGAATGAAGGACCATGATAAGAACCTTGGAGAATTCTTTCTTACATTTGTGGAGTAGGAAAAAATAAACCAGTAAATATTGCCTTCTTTGTTCCTTTCTATGCATGTCTAAATGTGCATACTAATGTGCACACATCAACATATACAGACATAAATGAACCCTAAGAAAAGAGATGAACAATCAAAACCCATTTGTTTCCATTTGTCTTCTGTCAGCTTAGTGACCAAGGTAGCCTGCTGGTAATCTGAATAAATATTATTGAGGAGCAGCATGATCTAGCAGAGTGAGAACCAAAGTCAAATAAATCTAGGTTCCACTGCCACCTCTACCATTTGCCAACTGTTTATCTTGGACGATTTGGGGGTTTTGCTTCCTCAGCATAAGGACATAAGTACCTACTCTCTCGCAACACAGGGTTACTGTAAAAATGAAATGAAGTAATGTATGTGAAATTATTTTATACACTGTCAAGTACTGGAATATAAGTTTTTTATTTTGTTATTATCACATGTTGAAATTAACATGTTATGATTTGTAGTTATCAGTTCAATCTTCCCTTCTCAAGGATATCAGTACTTATATGCAAATAAGTTCTAGCACTTATATTTTCCTCAATGGCATTTTAAGCTCTTCAAAAACAGGGACAATGTTTTAGATTTCTCTGTGTTTTCCTTACACTTTACTGTGTATGTGTATGCACTCTGGACATTAAAGGGAGAAAAGTACATATTTTGACTTGAAACTGAATTTATTCTGAAAGCCTCAATATAGCTTTCAATGTGTAGTACAACTTAAAATGGCATTCAAACCTAGCATACAAGTGTCTTGAAAATAATTTAAATACACAATGAGAGTGCTGTACCCAATGGCCTAATATACCTTTTTAAGTGGATTTTTCCATAAATCTGGAAATAAGTGACAAGGCGTAATGAATAACAAGGTTGAAAGGCATAGATTCAAAGCCATTAGTGACACTAATTATAGGTATAAGTAGAAACACAGTGACAGAAGACTAGCTTTGGAACTGAAACATATTGAAAAGGCTTTAACTAACTTTTACAGATTTTTTTTTAAAGATCATAATGCTTTTCAGGATACTAAGGCAATATAATAAAAATGACCATTATGGCACAATTTAGAAATCATACTCAAAATATTAGTGAGAATGCCTTTAAAAATATTCAGATGCTAGAAATTCAGAACACAGGCATATGGGAAAGATTTGGATTTAAGAAACTCTACTATGAGAAACAACTGTCTAAATACTTGGCTCTGATGTTTGAAGCCTTCACATAACATCCTAAAAGAAACAGAACATTTTAAATACAAAATTTGAAAGTACTTACTTCCACTTGGAATCAGGTCTCTTTCTGGGATGAAGAGTTTATATCCATAGTGTTTTTCCAGGACATCTGGCAGTACTTCAAGAGCAAACTGCTCTTCCTCAGGATTGTCACAGTCTAAAGTATCTTGGTCTACTTTTGTGTAAGAGAGATAGGCATCATATTCCTTGTTGTCTTAAACATAAAGAACAACAAAAGGGTTGTAACTATTAGCAGGTTCTCTTTGAGAACTAAGAGGCAGGGATAGCACAATAATTAGTGACTGTCTTTAATAATTGGAAAAAAATAAGTCACATGCCATGTTATAGGAAATCTAATCCCTTTCAAAATAACCCAGTCATATGATATGAATTGAAACCTATGCAATGGGCCACCTATAGTCTGAACAGAATAAAAGAGAGAATTATCATTTGTGACTTTCAGCGACTATACGCATTTGTAATACTCAATGATGTGTGAATGATTAGCTCAGTGTGTTTGAATGCAGGACTAAGTAGACCAAAGTCATGGATTTAACCCCTTTATTTTCCAGTTGGCTTGGCTCTGTTACTTGGGCACAGACTATACCTTGTTTGCACAAATATGTGCAAAAGATCCAACAGGGGCTGGGCCCTAGAGTGTGGAAAATTGAAATAATCCAGCCTCGCTCCTGGAGACACTGTTCACAGCACATGCCATAGTTCCAGTTGGTTAGTGTCGTCATCTTCATATACAAAAAGCAGTTCATTACCAAATATTAGAGACAGCAGCTGGGTTTTATACAAGTGCATTGCCTGTTATTCTTGTTCAGTTCATGGCCAACTAATATGACACAAGCTTCCAAAAGAAGCCTTTGTTTCAAAATATACATCCTTCCAGTATTGCCAAATTAGATTTTTCCTCCACACATTTAGTCAGGGAGTTAACTGTGCTTTGCAAGCGTATTTTTTCCTCTTTTGCTGTATTGGCTCAGAGCCAGTCTCTCCAGAGAGAAAATGTGCATGTATGCATACAGTTTTTTTCCTGCAAAATGTTAATGAGCATAGCTACTTGAGGTATTAGTTTCTGAAGGTTTTAGATGGGCCACATCCACACTGAAAAAGTTATAGTGAGATTTTCAAAATTTCCTTATTAAAAAAAGTTTTAAAGTTAAAATAGTGAACACAGATTCATGTGGAACTATTAGTAAACCCAGTTACTTACAAATAATAACTGCAAAAGACTGGTAAGAATTTCGGGATTTGTTTCTCAAACACATCAATATTTTCTATTAAAACATGCCTAATTAGAACATACCTAAAACCTGACCAAAATGTAATTTATAAAATGAAGCAGCCACTCATTTATTTCCACCATAACCCACACCATGACTTCATTCTACATGCTGAAGGAGGAATAAACTATAGACATATGATGAGCTGTAGATACCCTCTTTTAGGAGTAGATGAGACCTCCCTATCTCTGAAGTAGGATTATGTTGTTCTAATTTTAGTAAGATTTTAGCCTTCACCACTCCCAAACGAAAGAAATTCTGGTTATTTATATTAAGATGGTGCCTGAAAGAAAGAGAAAGAGTTAATACTCTTTAGCATCTTTTCTGGCTTCAAAAGGCTTCCATAAACCTTGGTTGGATTACTTGATTGCCTGGAAGCAGATGTACATGAAGGACTGCCCTGGGTAGTTGAAGAGATCATTTCGCTTACAAGTTGGGCGCATTCCACTGTCGTGCATAAAATTCTGCTTGGAAGTGAGAATGTTCATAAGCAATGCTAATGTAAGAACCTCCTGGTAATCCTAGCACCTCTGCCCTTGTTCCAATCACATGCAGGATACACCTGCAGGCCCCTGACTTTCTCCAGCTATAATTACTCACCTGGGACTCAGAGCTGCCGATGACACACAGCTGGAAGAATAAAACAGGCCAAAGGACAAATAGCTCCGTTCACATGAGCAGAATATATTTCATTGTTCTTGATAGATAGTGTTGCTGCCTCAAACTCCATAATGTCAGACCAGACCCTGTTACTCTCTCTGACTTTGATAACTTTCCTATTTCACAAACCTCCCTAAATTCAACCACTTATTAATTCATTCAACAATTATTTGTTGAGCATCTGCAATGGCTACTTGACTTCTTTACTCATCTGACCAGACCTTCTAGACTCCTCTCCTATTGCTTGTACTGACTATGGTTATTTGTCTTCCAAACATGCTAAATTCACATATTCTTGATTCTGTCCTTACTGGTTCCACCTATATTCTGATATTGCAGTTCAATGCTACAAACACTTACCCCTAGAAAGTACTTCTATACTTACATTTCCTAAGTTGTGGCAAAGAGCATGGATGTCTTTGGTACGTGTTAACACCCAACACATCGGGATTATAAATTTTACCTCGCATTCTAGAAGCACACCATTCATTGAAAAAATGAATGCTCCTGGTTTCATTCATGTCCCTTTAAGATGAACTAAAGGTGAAGAGCTTATGGTGGCTGGCCAGAGCAGGAAGAAAACTCTCAAAGTCACCATGTCAGATGTCCCAGACGCTTTAGAATACCAGCTAGTGAGCCAGCAGTGACACAGATGCTACAGTTTAAATAATGCACTCAACCTTATGTAGACAGCCAAGAAAACCTCATGAATAGCTGCAGCTGTTGCTCACAAAGAGGAGCAAGATAGATAAACCAAAATCAACAACATGATGCAAATAAGGTTAACAGCAAGGCCTGAAAATTGTTTCTAAACCAAAAGGCTGTTCAGCAGCACCACTTTTCTAGGCAAGGCTAATGAGCCTTCCTCTGTGCTAAATCATGCTGACTAAGCTTATCTGAGGAACCAGAAAATAGAGCATAATGCAGACAGAACAGTGTAAGGAAGAAGGCTGGCACAGTGGTTACCATAGGTATGCTGTTCCTAATAAAGAGAGAAGTTATAAGGAAGAGAACCAAATGTTTTGTAGAAGAATTTTCCTATTGTCACAGTTGTCCTTTTCTGTTTTAAAATTTAATTTGAATCCTGCTCCCTATCAAGAAGCCATCCATGTTTATAACTCAGTTGTTCTGCAGCTGTGCTAAGCAGAGTGCTAAACTCCTAGTTTCTACAGAGCAAAGACTGTGTAATCTTGTTGATTATTATATACCTATTACCTACTATAGTATATGTGTGTGTGTGCGTGACTGTAGTGTTGATCCAGATGAAGAATATAAGTAAATGCATCATGCATAGTCCCTGCCACTTAGTAGACACTTAAATATTTAATGACTGAAAAATTGAAAGGTTAAATAAATGAAGCAATCATTGGTGGGTTGAATTAAAATGAATTAAATTTTAAACATGGCTAAGAAATTAAAGTTTGTTGGATGGATTTTATTTTATACAAAATCAGGCATTTTTATAAGAACTTTTAGGAAATACCATTATAGATATTGTCAAAGAGAGAGCATGAAGAAAAAGCATATGGTTAAAATTAAGTTGTGTCTATGATATGTCAAAATATTTAAATGGTGAAATGAAAAATGTGATAGATTATCTGGCTGACATTTGGCATTCTGTAACTGTAAAAATTTATTCATTTTCACCATATTGACTTTTTAGTATTCCACTGAAGCTAATATAGAGGTTATATACTTAAGGTCCAAGGTTCTATGCAGAAATATAAAATATTTTAACCATCATTCCTAACGAAAACACTTGAAGTGCCCTCTCCCCATATTGCATTTTCCCCCCAACACTGAATTTGGAATCAATACATACAATTAGGTAATCAAAATGTTCTATATTACTGGACACCTTTGAACACATGAACCACATTGCAGATAAAGATGCAAAGTGGAATATTTAATTCCTGAAAAATTCTATCATATCAGCATAAAATTAATCTTACAAATATGTACTACAACTGAGCAGTTAGTCTAGGTTATTGGGTATCAGTGATGAAGGTAATTAATTATTGTAGATTAACATAATAAATTGTATAATCTCAGAGATTAACAAATTGCATATTATCAGGACTCAAAACATATTAATCACAGAAGCCTCCCTTTCATATTTTTATTTATTTTATTCATTTTTTTTTTTAGAGACAGGGTCTTACTCTGTCATCCAGGCCGGAGTGCAGTGATGAGATCATAGCTCACTGCGACCTTGAGCTCCTGGGTTCAAGCGATTCTCTTGACTCGGCCCCCATGGTTATCCGGTACCACAGGCATGCACCACCATGCACCACCATGAGGCAGGAGGATTGCTTGAGTACAGGAGTTTGAGACTGCAGTGAGCCAGGATTGCACCACTGCACTTCAGCCTGGGTGACAGTGGACTTTTGTTCTCAAAAAAAAAAAAAAAGAAAAGAAAAAAAAGGTAAAAGAAAAATAAAAGAAAGAAGAATTTCTGTAATTTACTATGAAAATATGAAAGTCAATTAAAACTCATCCCAAGGCTTACAGCAGTTTTGGGATGAGAACTTTATGTACAAGAAGCTATGTGCCATGATTTCTTATTGATTTTGATTGGAAACATGGCAGTTTGTACTCTTGAAAAAAAAAATCATTTTAAATGTTCAAAGAAACAAGGCTCAGTATAGTATACTGCTTTATTGATATTTCTCTCATCAGATTTTCAAAATTCATAAACATTTAAAAAATAAATATTTAAAAAATAGTTTATTTTTTAAACTATTTTTTGTAGAGATGAGGTCTCCCTATGTTGTGTAGGCTGGTCTTGAACTCCTGGGCTCAAGCAATCTTCCTGCTTAGGTTTTCCAAAGTGCTGGGATTTTGTGAGCTACTGTGCCTGGCCCCTTTTATGTTCTTTTACACAGATAATGCATCTTTTACCTTCACAATTGGCTACTTTAGCCACTTGCTGGCACCTGGGAACCAGGGACATTAACCTCAATAACACATTCTAGTTTTTTTCTGTATACAGATAAGAAGTCAAGATTTTTCAATATTAACTGTTGTTTATAGGAAGAACTGAGGGTAATTGGTCATATTTCCATATATATTGTCAGCGTATATAATAATTGTTGGAATAGGCCTTAATTTTTCACTTTTAAGATGTATCTAAGTAAGTCTGTAGTACTTTTAAATGGGCTGCTGTAATTGCTGAGTAGATTTGAAATGTGCAAATGTGTAGATGTGTAGATTTGAAAATGAGCAAATGAGCATGCATATGTACTCATCAAAAAGCATTTCACGCCAGGTGCACTGGCTAACGCCTGTAATCCCAACACTTTTGGAGGCTAAGTCCAGAGGATTGCTTGAATGCAAGAATTTGAGACCAGCCTAGGTAACAAGGCGAGACCCTGTCTCTACAAGAAATAATAATAATAATAATAGTAATAATAATAAATTAGCCAGGCATGGTGGCATGCACTTGTAATCTCAGCTACTCAGGAGGCTGAGGCAGGAGGATTGCTTGAGTACAGGAGTTTGAGACTGCAGTGAGCCAGGATTGCACCACTGCACTCCAGCCTGGGTGACAGTGACTCTGTCTCAAAAAAAAAAAAAAAAAAGAAAAGAAAAAAAAGGTAAAAGAAAAATAAAAGAAAGAAGAATTTCTGTAATTTACTATGAAAATATGAAAGTCAATTAAAACCCAACCATATCATCATTCACATAATAGTAACAACAAGACCAAAATCAGATTCCTCAAAAATTTTGACATTACATCTATCACTATAAAATTAAAATCAAAATTGTGAATTTCTCTTTTTTGAGGTAAGACCACCAACTCAAAAAAATAAACAAAAGCTCTAACCTTACTTATTTTGGTACAATGAAAACTCAGTTTTAAATCTGTCTTTTTAAAATCATGTTTTCCAAATTGGATTTCTTTCTAAAAAGTGTTTGGCTTACCTGTGGCATTCTATACACATTTCCAAGGCTTACAGCAGTTTTGGGATGAGAACTTTATGTATAAGAAGCTACATGCCATGATTTCTTATTGATTTTGATTGGAAACATGGCAGCTTGTACTCTTGAAAAAAATTAAATCATTTAAAATGTTCAAAGAAACAAGGCTCAGTATACTGCTTTATTGATATTTCTCTCATAAGATTTTCAAAATTCATAAACAGCAAATACAAGAAAATTATGAGCTATACTCTGAATTTTTATTCTTTCAGGTCACCTTTGAGAATGGTGCTATAAGCATTCAAAATATGTAGGTACATGTACTTTGAGCTTTAAAAGGATTGTCTCCATAGCTTTCAATCTGTTTCTTGCATGATTGCTTGTTTTGTAGATGGCAGCAATGGCTAAATTGATCTGTACTTAAATTTGCATTTTCTGAAAAAAATTGGAATTGATTCTTAATTTGCTTCTTACTAAGTGGGAGGGATTTGACAGCAATTGTTTTATCTCCTGAGCAACTAATGTCTTATTGTTAAACTTTTTATTGGAAATAAAGTCAAACGTATAGGAATATTATAAAAATAAAACTATTTCAAAAAACATACATAGCATTTACTCAGATTTACCTATTGTTAATATATTCTCCTCTTTTCTCTTTTTCCTGGTAAGGTTTCTAAACTATTTAAAGGTAAGTAACTTGCCATAGCCCTTTACCCCTAAATATTTCAGCTTGTACTTCCTAAAAATAGGGAAGGTCTCTTACATAATCACAAATGCATGCCATTTAATGGAATTCGAACAATAGGAGACAGCTTACCATCATTAGTTTCATCAGCTCCAAAGTGCTGCCTGTAGAAGAGCATTAATTCAATGTTGTAGCATTTATAAATGACCACCAGCAGTACAAGGAGGAGGAAGATTGCTCCCAGGCCCCCTGCAAGCTCAATTTTGTAGATTAAATCTGGAGCGAACAGAATAAACAGGAAAAGGTAATTAAATCAGCAACACTTGGGATCTTCCCATATTTCTAGTATATAAGATGTACTACCATTCTGTTTTCCTGTCCAGAAAATTCTTGCTTAATGCAGTAGCTTTGCTCTTGATACATTTGTATGAATCAAATTTTTCTAAAATAAACTCTTTAAAATTTGATTAATTTACCATTAAAAGTGGTAAGTCTATCTGAAAAGGAATAGTTGCTCCCAGTTTGTTTTGAACGCATCTGAGATGTCATATATATGCTTTTGCTCTAAACGTATTTCAGGGAACTATTAAAGCTACTTTATTCTGGGTCCAAGGCCAATATTTTCTTATTTCTGTTAAATTATCATATTGGTTTAGCAAGATTACCATCCAGCACTTCTCAGGCCACAGGTCCTATTCTTTTGCAGGAGAACATCATCATAAAATTACTTTCAGAATCAAATAAAATCTAATGAGTTTGCAGGATTTAACTGTTTCATTTAACCCAGTAGAACATAATCCAATATAAGGTAAGCAGGTAAAATTAGCTTATCCATTTCCCCTACTTATTTGAATAAATGACTGTAATATATATGTGATATAATATGCCCAATGGAACTAAAACATAATGAGAAATCCAGGCTAATCACTTGGCCTCTTCAGCCAACACCAGCCTACCTGATAGCAGACTTAGGCTGCTCCAGTGGGGCATCCCTAGAACTCTTGAGCATTGGAACAATGAAATCAAAATATAATGGAAGAAGACATAATGTCTCCCAGGCTCAGGGAACAGTGACTTAACCTGTAGTAAATCAGTGATATTAATAAATCTAAAGAGTGTATCATCAAAAGAGGGTATGGTATCATGAAATTTAGAGAAAGGGGAAGTCAGAGGAGAATTTAGAATGTGAATTCAGCAATGTCCAGGGGAAAAATACTGAATCTGAGAGACATCAGACTAGAGACATATTTTCCACAGGGACATTATTGGTCTCATGATAATTAGATAAAATTGCCTACAAGATAACCTAACCTTCCTTTAATGTAATTACATAATTACCAAGTGACTATTTTATTACTAATTCAGCTTGCCATGTAACTGGAAACTAGAAAAGAGAGAGACAATCTAGTTTATACATCAATTCCTTGTGAGTTTAGTTGGCATCAGTCAGTCTTCCTGGATGGATCAATTATGGGGCACTGTCAAAATCAAATTGCTGACCATTGACAGGCTGTCATTCTTGAAAGCCAGACTGTCAGCCTTTCTCTAGGAATGTCCCTTATCTCTATACAGGATTATTGCTTAAGAGAAATTAGCCAGGCTCAATATAACAATTAAGATCCATTTAGTAGTTTATATTTTATAAAAAAGAAATACATATATAATATATAAATATATAAATATAAAAATAAAAAATAAAATATAAAAATATATATTTAAAAATCACGCACACACACACACACACACACACACACAGAACAGCAAATCAGGAGAGTCATAGAATGGAAATGTAAGAAACACAAATAAATGTCACTTTTTTTGAGTATGGAGAGAGGGGGAAGGATAGAAAAAGGAAGAGAGTGGGGCTGCTGTGAAGGACAAAATATGCCAACAAGGAATATTGCGAGGGCACACACAATGAATAGGGGTAGGAAGTTGGAATCTGTGTCTGTCGTGCCTGATGCAAGAGGTGGTCTTTTTAAAAAAATAAGCCACAAAATTCCGGGTTTAAAAAAAAAAAAAATTCACGACATAATTAGCAATGCTTCCTGCCCTCTATATAAAACGTGGCTGTCCAGGAACCTCTACCTTCCTCTGCCTCTGCCCATGTTGGGGACAAAACAGGCTTTCTTAAGAGATCTCTGTGGGCTGCAAATCACAGTTTTTACTTGTTTTCTCACCGTCTTATATACACCATCAATCATACATTATTAAAAGCCAATTTTAAATAGAGAAACCAATACGATTTTCTTTGTTACTCTGAAAACTGACTTCTCTTTCATCTTGGGGCATTAATTGACTTGATTCAAAAGGTTTTTCCTGTTTTAAGATGTTCACTTTACGCTATAAATTTTTTGGTCTTTCTGTCTGTCTCTCTCTGTGGTCAGAAGAGCTTTCAAATGTTTTAAAAGTCGTGGAATGGGAAATTTTTCAGCAATTTCTATGTTATTTACAGAGCAGAGTTGCTATTAGGTAGATGGAAAACTTCAGCAGCAGGAACAATTTGTGCTCTCAAGTAGCAGACGTTTTTTTCAGCAGTAAATTTATGGAAGAAAACCATGGTGAAAAAAGTACTTTTGTGATTTTGGGGTCCGTTTTATAAAAAATATCTTTGAAAGATATTATGTAATGATGGCTGTTTAAGTTGAAAAATGTGGACCTAGGCCCAGAGACCCAACCAGCATTCTTTGATTCAGCCCAGGCAGTCACATCAAAAGGGAAACATCTATCCTATAATCAGAGGGCACAGTTGCCATCACCCAAATGCCACCTGGATTTTCTTTTGTCTTCTATTTTCAATTGCAATTTTCAATCTCAGCAGGATCTATACTTCAAGGGACACTTACTCACTGAGAAACTGAAAGTCATTTTAGTTGGGCTGTGTCTTGTATATGCTTCACAAAGAGAGCTGTAGCAAGAACAGCAAATATTTATGGGCCTGTAACTTTTTCTAGGTACCCAAAGTACATGGGTAGTTCTTTTTACCTTCTTAGTTTGAACCCACCTATTTCTTCACTGTGAACACAAAGATCAGATATTATAGAACGGGACAAATAGCAACTGAAGCCAAGGGACTGGAGAGAGAGAATGCAGGGAATGTTTAAGCTTGCTGCTCTGATTCACAAGATGGGAAGCAGTTTAGGAGATCCCACCTGAGGGCTTCTGTCATGGTCTGAATGTTTGTTCAAAATGCATATGTTGTAACCTAACCCCCAAGGTGATTATATAAGAGGGAGGCCTGGCCAGGCACAGTGGCTCAAGCCTGTAATCCCAGCACTTGGGGAGACCAGGGCAGGAGGGTCGCTTGAAGCCAGGAGTTTGTGACCAACCAGGTCAACAAAGTGAAGCCCTGTCTCTACAAAAAATTTAAACAATTAGTTGGGCATGGTGGTGTGTCTGTAGCCCCAGCTACTCTGGAGACTGCGGTGGGAGAATTATTTGGGCTCAGGAGTTTGAGGCAGCAGTGCACTATGACTGAGCCATTGCATTCCAGCCTGGACAACAGAGTGAGACCCTGCCCTGTTTCTAAAAAAATAAAAAATAAAAAACGAGGGAAGCATGTGAGAAGTGATTAGGTCATGCGGGTAGAACTTTCATAAACGGGGCCTGGTATAAGAGATGCCTGAGGAAACCTTTTTGCTGCTACTGCCATGTGAAGACACAAAGAAAGTGTCGTCTATGCGAAATGGGTCCTTACCAGATACCAAATCTGTTGGTACCTCGATCTTGGTCTTCCTAGACTCCAGAACTGTGAACAATCCATTTCCGTTGTTTATATACTATCTAGTCTAAGGTATCTTGTTATAGCAGCCCAAATGGACTAGGACAGAAATTGGTACTGAGAAGTGGGGTGCTGCTGTAACAAATACCTAAAGTTGTGGAACCAACTTTGGAACTGGGTAATGGATAGAGAGTAGAAGAGATTTGAGGTATATTGCCATGAAAAGAGCCTTAAGGGCAATTCTGGTGAGGGCTTGGAAGAAGAAGAGAGCTACAGAGAATTCCTCAGTCATCTTAGAGATTGCCTAAATGGTCGTGATCAGAATGTTAGTAGAAATATGAATGGCAAAGGCCATTCTGATACCTCAGACAGAAATGAGTAATAGGCCCCTACCAGACATGAATCTGCTGGTGCCTTGATCTTGGACATCCCAGCCTCTAGGATTGTGAGCACTAAATTTATAATGTTTAAAAATTACCCAGTCTAAGGTGTGATCCAGAGCAGGCTCAGAAAGTTTTCTATTCAGATACGGTGGGACAGAGTGAAGCAGCAGCACTGAGAATGAAGAGAGAGAGATTCAATGATATGCCTCTGTTTTATGAGAAAGGAGGTATGTACAGGGAAGCAGAAATAATTATCAGAATTTCTGGAACCTAAGTTCAGACTCTTGGCTCACCAAATAAAAAATTTAGGATGAACTTCTTACTGAAATGCTAGTTGCACGTACTGCAAATTGTTCATCTGAGAATAAGGAAGTGGTAGGTGCAGACAGAAGATAAATAGGTAAGAAGAGGGATAGGTTACAAAACTTGATCCTGTTAATTGGATATGTTAGATGTGAGTTTTCATTTTACAAAAACCCTTTTCACTTAATGAAAGGATTCATCATGTTTCTTCTCCATAATGATCACTTAAGGCATATTAAATATTTGACTTACAGCTCATCAAGAAGTTATTGTTCCATAAAACAATCCATACTAGTATTCCAAGTGGGAATACTACTGCCAATGAGGCCAGGCTATGATGTGATAAAGCTTAAAAGGTCCAACTCCAAAGAAAATATCTTAAGTTTCTCAAAACTAGCTAGAGCTTGTTCTGACTTAAAAAAAATACGACAGGTCCATAAGGATTCTTGCTCTTTCTTGGGCTTCCACTATATCGTCAGAAGCTCCTAAGGAGACGAAGTGAGGGAAGATTAACTGCATACTTTTGTAAAGCACAGTGAAATCATTTAACTGCTACCTAGAACAGAGAGTACAAACTGGTATACTATGGGCCAAAAAATTGGTTTTGTTGGATCACACAATGTTTCAAAAATGAATACTAATATTTTAAAATTAAAAGACTTCGTATCCAGTCTTTCAGCTTCACTTGAAAACTTCGAAGCTCTCATATCCCTGGGCATACATTCCAGCAAAAACAGCAGTAATCTTATAGAACAAAGTAGTTGTTGCCCTTTTAAAGCAAGGCATGTTTTCTCTGGTCTATGTTTTGATTTTGTCTAATATCCAGCCCTCTTCTTTAAAAAATTCAGTATTTTCCTGGGACCTGAGGTCTTTGAGTTTGCAATCCCTGGAAAGTAAATAATACTTGAAAAGAAAAAAACGCATTTAGGTAATCCAGGGCAGATATTAGTCATGACAAAATCACACATCAAATCTTCTTTTTATCAATCTCTGTTATTTATTGCTCACCTGATTGTGCTTGTCCTCCATGAGGAGAATTTTCATTCAAGAAATAGTTTTGAGCACTTACTATGTTTTATGCACTGGAGATACAGCAGTAAATAAGGCAAGAAAAGTTCCTGTTCTCAAGTATTCTATATTTTAGTGGGGGGAAGAAAACAAGAAGCAAACAAATATGCAATATAATATCCAATAGTAATAGACAAAACAAAAAGAAGTGGAGACAGGTTAGAAGAAAAATAAAATGAAAGGTAATATCATTTTATATAGGATGGCCAGAAAATACCTATCAAGAAGATAACATTTAAGTAGAAATCTGTATGAAGGGAAGGAGGGAGTCATAGAGACAGCTGGAGGCAAGAGTGTTACAGACAGATGAAATAGCAAGTGCAAAGGACCTGATGCAGGACTGTGTTTGGTGAACATGAGAAACAGAAAGGAGGCTAGTGTGTATAATGTATGAGGAAAACTGTGGTAGAAAATGAGATCAGACGTAAGAACAGATTGTGTAGTGCCTTATAGGACATGGTAAAGATTTGGGATTTCATTCTTGGTGGAACAGGGAAAGAACTGTAAATGGAGGGTTCTGATCAGGGGGATAACATGACCTTGCTTACATATTTAAATGATCCTTCTGACTGTTGTGATAAGAATAGACTGTGAGAGGAAAAGGATGGAAGCAGGGAGACCAGTTAGGCTGTTACCATGATCCGGGTAATTGGTGCTGGTGGCTCAGAAGAGGATGTGGGTAGTGAAGGTGAGAAAAGTGTTCAGATTCTGAATAGGCTTTGAAAGTTAAGCCATGGGATTTGCTGGTGGAGTAGATATAGGATGTGAGTAGAGAAAAGAAAAAGTGAAGAATGACTCCAAGGATTTTGGCATGAGCAATTAGAACAATGGTGATGGAGATGGAGAAGGAGACTGGAGGATCAGGTTCGTAGGCAGGAGAAATTAGGAATCCTGTTTGGGACAAGCTAAATTTGATACGCCTACTAGATCTGTAAGAAGAGTTGTTTAGTAGGCAATTGAGTATACAGGTGGGAAGTCCAGGCTAGACATAAATTTGGGAGTTGTTAGCATATAAGTGGTAAGCAAAACCATGAGATGGAGATAGAATGAAATCACCTACTGAATGAGTGAGAAGAGGGGACCTGAACCCTGGGGAACTCCAATATTTAAATATTTGGAAGATGAGAATTAACATTGTCAGTTATCATGATTTAGACCAGTTTCCTTGTAGAAGCCATGTGAGGTAGCAGAGTATTATAGTGTGTCTTAGTTTGTAGTGTCAAATTCTTAGAAACTTTTAGGTGCTGCCCTGTGTTGCTTTACTTATTAAAGACAAATGGATTTATTTTAAAACTCAAATGAGGTTATTTCTGTCCACACAGGCCGATTGATAAGACACCCCCCATTATTTTTCCTCATAGCAGGTTTTTAATTATAACACTATATATCTTTTGCGGAATTTTGAAAAATGTTTAAAGTTGGTCTTTCTTTGCATTCTCACTCCTCCAAAAGGTATAAGCTCCAAGAAGACCTAGGTAGGTCTATCTTATTCGGCATTCTATTCCCCAGCATCTATCATAGTGCTGGCTGTAGCTAAGTGTTCAATAATAAAAGAAAAAATTAATCACTTATTTGACCAGAATGGGTTCTAAGTGCTTATTACTAGCTAGACACTGCTCAGGTTGATATTTCTGAGGATACAGAGGTATAACAGCAGGCTCTGATTGGAGGATCTCTAAGCCCGAAATAAGACTAAGATGAACAGAAACAAAGTGATCCTTGCCACAAGGTGTTTGGGCATGATCAATACCTGCCCTTCATGTGATTCCTAAGTGGTTACCTAGGATAAATTATCTAAGTTCAGTATAATAATAAAGACTGGTTATGGCATATTTCATACTCATTATATCATTATTATTTGAACCTCAAAGTGACTCTGCAAGGTAGATACTATTAATCCTATTTCAAAGATAAGAAAACTAAGGTTTAGGGAGTCTAATAAGACAAGTCAGTCCTACTGAACCAGGATCTCCTGAATCTGGATCTTCTGACTTTACTTTCTCCATTAGACTCCTTTACACTTAAATACGCCTTTATTTTAAGACAGAATCAAGTCTAATGGAGTACGAAGTGGTGCTAGAGATATAAATGCATTATTTTCAGAATAATGATTCCTCTCTGCTTCTTCAAGAGCTGCTGGTCATTGTCAAGTATTAGGGCTGGCTGGAAAATATAAATTCCATCCTGGCCAGGAAGTACAACTAAGTGACCTTGCTGATTGAATCTGTTCTATTATTGCTCTAAAACCTAGGCAACAAGGACACTGATTGAGAACATTTGTTCTGCTACATTTGCAAAGCCTTTGCCAGATGTACATATACAGAAAGTATTTAGCCTTTTGCAGCAACCAAAAGTCATAGCAAGGTAAGAGCCAGTTCAGAAGCTACTCTAGCTGCTGAGATTGCTTGTTGTTTGTATATCTGTTTTTATCTCCTTTATATGTAAATTTAGAGTTTCTTTTCTTTGTTCATTATATACAATTTCCACCCTGTCTGGAACCAACTTGAGAAAGAGATCTCCATAAATGCCAAAATATTTAGAAATACATGCACCTGATAAAGACCTCTTAATACCAGGTCATATCATAAAATATAGTTCATAATTTCTATGATAATTATAAGAATATTATATGGGATTATTAATTTTTTATTTTTTAATCAGGGAATAAAAAAGCAACAGTGTTTCTCATCCAAAAAAAAATCTCTTGCATTTCATTTAAGCAATATAAGATATAAGAAGGCAAAATATGGAGAAAATATTGAATGTCAAATATATATCAAATTTTATGTAACACTAATAACTAAGGTACACTTTATATCACTGGATTTAACATATAACAATACTTCATATCATTTATCCACTTCCTAATGATATTGAAGATCATAGGTATTTTATGTTAATATCACAGCAAGAGAAATATCTTTCCTTAAAAAGAAAAAATGGTTAATAGAAGTTTACACTACATGATAAAATAAAGCCAAGAAATATCTCTAACTTCAATAATTGTTGATAGCTAAGCAAACCATAGTTATAGTTATAAAAATAAATACCCTTTTTACGCAGCAGAACACTGGCATGTTTCCGTCCATTTCGGTTTTCAACATGGCAGGTATAATTCGCCAGGTCAGCTTCCACAACTGAGTCAAAGATGAGTGCCAACTCAACTTCTTTTTCTCCAAGATGCTCTTTGAGAAGCCTGAAATAAAGAAAGTATTCTTGGCTGAATTAGCTTGATTTGGGCAGAAAGCAGCCATGCAAAGACTACAGATGGTCACACAGCTCACACAGGTCTCTGATGATGGGCGTGGAGAATCCTGACTGGGTGTATATGTGGGTGGGACCTTCAACAAGAAAACACAAAAAGTGGCTCTTGACATGAAGATAAGATGGAAAAGAAAAGAAGTGAATAATTCACTTGGCAAAAAGAAATATTAACATGCCACTAGGCTTTGATAAATAAAGTCAACATGGCTTGTATGGTGAAAAGGAGGAAACACTAGGTTCCATGCTCTAAACTAAGATCATGAAAACTAATTGGATTTTTGCATCATGGCATGAAGGGAAAAAAATTTTAGAAGTATAGACTTTGTGGTAGAGGTTAGAGTTTTGATAGTAGTGAGGTAAAGATGTAAAGAAGGGGGCCTTGAATGTGGTTGCCTTATGAGAAGTAAACTGAAAATTTTTAGTGGCCTTCTATCTCCATACATTAGTGATAAGCCTACTCTCTGCTTTTCTCCTGGCTTTTGTCCAACGCAGTAATGTGCTCTGAGCCCTAATCCCCCAATAATGCTAAGACGCCCATGACCCTGATCTCTCCAGACACTGCTCCCCATCTGTCCCTTTGCTTTGTGCCCTCACAGGAGAAGACCTCTGTAACATTTTCTCCTAGCCTTGCTTTTTTTTAAAGCTGCAAAGGACCTTGTATGGCCAGGAACAGATGTTCTTTGCAGAGGGGCTGAATTGCTAGGGTTATTTCCTGAAGAGTGCGTCTCCTGTTTCTTTGGAGAGTTATATTCTCAACAACGACCAGCTACCTTCTGGGTGAGATGAAAGTGGGCACCCTGTCAACTTTTCTCTTCTTTCTCTTGCCTTTGGCCAAAGAAGGAGTGAATTATGAGTCCACATGGTGACAACCCTACAGTTTAGTTCTGGAGTAGGTTCTTAAATACGTATATGTTTCAATCATGAAATATTTTAGATGGAAAATTGGAGAAGCAGAAGTAATTCTCGCCTTCTTTTTGGACACCTGGTTATAAATGCAGGGAATATCTCTATGACTTACTGGCACTCAGCGTAAAATTGGAAACATGACTGCTCAGACAAAACTGGGCTCTAAGTACAGGACTCCCAATTACAAGCTCAGGCTTGGTCTTTACAAAATCATTAACTCAATGGTGCCTTAATTTAACTCATCTTGGAACTGGTAAAATAACTGCCATACATACTTTAACTTTGTTGTAAGGGTAAAATGGGTTAAAGTGATTTGAAAAGTAAATAGTACTATGCACATGCAAATGTATGTTACTAAACACAAACATTTCATTATCTGAAGGTAGATTGTATTTTAGCTACTCCAAAAATATTTGTATTTACATTTACTGACATTTAAGATTGGCTTGACTTAACCTCTTCTTCTTCCCATTTGAGAGCAGGAAGGGCTTACAGTTGGGTTGGTGGAATGGAATTTCTAAAATCTGAGTCTCTTGTACTAAAATCTCAAGTCCTTTACATTTATGTACCATCGTAGAACCAGACGAGTATAAGAATTTTCTTAACTGCATATGGGAGAATACATCTTATGGTTAGTTTTTCTATAAATTGTTTTTATTTTTCCTGACTGAAGTTGTAGTTTCTCTTTTTGTCTTCTCTCCCAACATGTACCTAACCAAGACAAAATTGGACATTTACTACTTTCATGGTTTATATTGACTTTTGTTCTCTGTTTTTCTCCCTGATGTTGGTAAATAACACCACACTCAATTATTTTAGCTCTGTGTAACCTGCTGTGGAAGAACCCCCTGTAGTTCCAGAAGCTGCATAGGCACCACAACTTCAGTTTAATTTGAAGCCTCACATGGAGGGCAGCCATAGCCTCTGCCAGGCACAGGGTGGAAAGCTGATCCTGTTCTTCCCGACCAAGCCTTTCCTTCTTCTAATGCAGTTTCCAAAAACAGCTCTTCACAGGCTGCAGAAAGAATCTGGAGAGAGGATTTGAAAAATGATCCTTGGTTCATCTATTAATATATATGAGGTGTCTTAATTATCAGCTCCTGAAAAACCTAGGTGACTTGTGTTTTTGGAATTAAAGATCAAAATGATGTTTATGACTACAAATCACTCAATGGAGCAGTCATAATTTTCTAGCAAATATATTATTTTTAATTTTAATTTTAGGTTCCGGGGTACATGTGCAGGTTTGTTTTATAAATTGCCTGTCACAGGGGTTTGGTGTACAGATTATTTTATTACCTAGGTAATAGCATAGTACCCTCCTGCGGCCCTCCAAGACTTTCAAGTAGGCCCCGGTGTCTGTTGTTTCCTTCTTTGTCTTCAAATGTACTCAACATTTAGCTCCCACTTATAAGTGAGAACATGTGGTATTTGGTTTTCTGTTCCTGTGTTAGTTCCCTTAGGATAATGGCTTCCAGCTCCATCCATGTTGCTTCAAAGAACATGATCTCATTCTTTTTTATTGCTGTGTACTATTCCATGGTGTATGTGTATCACATTTTCTTTATCCAGTCTACTGCTGATGGGCATTTAAGTTGATTCCATGTCTTTGCTCTTGTGAATATTGCTGTGGTGAACATACCCATGCATGCATCTTTATGGTAGAACAATTTATATTCCCTTGGGTATATACCCAATAATGAGATTGCTGAGTTGAATGATAATTCTCTTTTAAGTTGTTTGAGAAATCGCCAAACTGCTTTCCACAATGACTGAACTAATTTACATTCCCACCAGCAGTGTAGAAGCACTCTCCTTTCTCTGCGACCTCACCAACATCTGCTATTTTTTGACTTTTTAATAGTGGCCATTCTGACTGGTGTGAGATGGTATCTTGTTGTGGTTTTGATGATCATTTCTCTAACAATTAGTGATGTTGAGCATTTTTACATATGTTTGTTTGGCTGCATGTATGTCTTCTTTTGAAAAGTGTTCATGTTCTTTGCCCACTTTTTTATGGAGTTTTTTTTTTTTTTTTAAGTTCCTTATGGATTCTGGATATTAGTCTTTTGTCAGATACATAGTTTGCAAATATTTTCTCCCATTCTGTATGTTGTCTGTTTACTCTGTTGATAGTTTTTATTTTTATTTATTTATTTTTTGCTGTGAAGAAGCTCCTTTGTTGAATTGTTCGAATTTTGTTTTTGTTGCAATTGCTTTTGGCATCTTTGTCATGAAATACTTGCCAGATTCTATGTCCGTAATGGTATTTCCTAGGTTATCTTTCAGGATTTTCATAGTTTTTGGTTTTACACTTAAGTATTTAATTCATCTTGAGTTGATCTTTGTATATGGTGTAAGGAGTCCAGTTTCAATCTTCTGTGTATGGCTACCCAGTAATCCCAGCACCACTTATTTAATAGGGAGTCCTTTCCTCATTGCTTGTTTTTGTCAACTTTGTCAAAGATCAGATGGTTGTTGATTGGTGGCATTGCTTATGTTCCATTGGTCTATGTGTCTGTTTTCGTACCAGTACCATGCTATTTTGGCTACTATATTCTTGTAGTATAGTTTGAAGTCAGGTAATGTGATGTCTCAGGCTTTGTCCTTTTTGCTTAGGATTGCCTTGGCTATTCGGGCTCTTTTTTGATTCCATATATATTTTTAAATAGTTTTTTTCTAATTCTGTGAAGAATATAACAATCCATCAATGATTCTTTTGCAGTCTTTAATAAGTGCCTGGCTCTGGGCTGTATATTTGGCATACAAGAAATAGGAACATTAAAAGATGTGGTCCCTTCTTCCATTAAACTTTAAAATTTAAATGAGGAGACACAATGTACACAGTTGCAGAAAATTATAGAAAGAATAAGGCAAAGCAGGGTGGTACACTCACGCTTATGACAGTATGTCATAGAATGGAGAGACTACTGTTGACTAAGTTATCTAAAAAATGCCTAAGAAAATTCTCGCTAAGTGAAAAGAAGGGAGGGTTTTCCAGAATAGAAGACAAGAGTAGGTTTTTGCAGAATGTGTGAAAGAGAGGTATTAAAGAGACTGGTTTCAGAGTAGAGGTTATAAGTGAGGGAATCCTGGGATATATTTCAAATGACCTTAGAAGTATCTCATTCCAAGTATTGATATTATATGGGAGGGTAAGAACCACATGCATTTTAAATTGATTATTGAAACATAATAGATGTACAAAAAAACTCACCTATTTAATGTATACAATTTGATGAGTTTGTATATATGCATGCATCCATGGCAGGTGAGGGAGGGGTAGTAACCAGAGGGGTCTAAATATTAACATTAAAGGCAAGTTACAGTAGCAGTGAACATTGGTACAATAAAAAGTAACCAGTTCAGGTGATAGACATCATTATATTCCAAAATTTTATTTAGATTGGTACTATTATTACAAATTAATACTATGAAGAGTTAGGAAATTGTCCCTCTCATTCTCACAAAAATAAAAAAGGTGAACAAACTGAAAATTATCAACTTTTCTTAAATCCCTCAGGTAACAAGTCACAGGGCAAACTTCTGCCCCAGAAAGTTGAGAGAAAGGCAAATACAGAGAATCACAGTATACTGGAATGAGATCCCCAGGAGCAAGGCCTGTACCAGCACAAACACTTAAAATGTAATAGATAAATTCCTGGAGACCCACCATGAACTATCTTGAGAGTTAAAAACAGCATGAGACCTATATTTAGGGGGACCCCACAATTTTGTGAGTTTTGCCTACATAAGCGCCACTAAGTTCTTACTGTGAAGATTGGAAAAAAGATTCCCTTATGCTTCTGGCAGGGGGAAAGGGAAAACTGACCATTTTAAAATGAGCCCAGAGCACTTTGTTCTCCTTTTAAAAGTGCTTGTTGATTGAGTATAGTGGTGCATGCCTATAATTCTAGGCTTTAGGAGGCCAAGGCTAGAGGATAACTTGAGGCTCGGAGTTCAAGACCAGCCTGGGAAACATAGCAAGACCCCATATCTACAAATAATAATTTTTAAACATTAGCC